ACTCAGCTCTAACAACATGTTCTGACATTTTGTGGCAAGTCATAGACTCAGAAAACTAGGACTGGAAGGGATCTCGAGAGGTCATCGAGTCCAGTCCCCTGCCCTCATGGCAGGACTAAATACTGTCTAGACCATCCCTGATAGACATTTATCTAACCTGCTCTTCAATATCTCCAGAGACAGAGATTCCACAACCTCCCTGGGCAATTTATTCCAGTGTTTGACCACTCTGACTGTTAGGAACTTTTTCCTAATGTCCAACCTAAACCTCCCTTGCTGCAGTTTAAGCCCATTGCTTCTTGTTCTATACTCAGAGGCCAAGATGAACAAGTTTTCTCCCTCCTCCTTTTAGGTATCTGAAAAGGGCCCTGCTGGATTTAAAATGTTCATCTATATTGGTTACTAACTCTGCAGAGAGAGAGAGAGACAGACAGACAGACACACACACACACACCCCCCCATACCCACACCCCACCCTCCCGCTCCTCCTGAATTCTTGCTCAGCTCTGGGAGGGGACTGGATCTAGGGGGTTACAGCAGGGGCAGATATATCTGGGTTCTATGTAAGAACCTCAAAAATAGACACACTGGATCAGACCAAGGGTCCATCTCGCCCAGTGTCCTATCTACCCACAGTGGCCAATGCCAGGTGCCCCAGAGGGAGTGAACAGAACAGGGAATCATCAAGTGATCCATTTTGCGTTGTTCACTCTCAACTTCTGACAGAGGGTAGGGACACCCTCCCTGCTCATCCCGGCTAATAGCCATTGACGGACCTAACCTCCATGAATGTATCTAGCACTTTTTTGAACCCTGTTACAGTGTCTTGACTTTCACAACATCCTATGACAAGGAGTTCCACAGGTTGACGGTGTTGTGTGAAGTACTTCCTTTGTTTCAAAGCTGATTTGAAAACCAATGTTTGTAGTTCCGCAATTCCACAGTTGAGTTTTTTCAGAACTCGTGTGAATGCCATCTGATCCTGGTGACTTGTTACTGTTTAGTTTATCAATTTGTTCCAAAACCACCTGTGACCACCTCAGATTTGTCACCCAAACAAAAAGAAAGCTCAGACTTGGGAATCTCCTTCACTTCCTCAGCCGTTAGTACCGATGCACAGAATTCATGACCTCATCAGCCTCGAGTGCTTCTGTAGCATCTAGACCATCCAGCAGGCCCCCACCGGTTGTCTAGCAGGCATCCTGCTTCTGATGTATTTAAAAAAAAGGTTTTGCTATTACTTTTGGAATGTTTGGCTTGCTGTTCTTCGAAATCTATTTTTGGCCTTCCTCATTATATTTTGCCACTTCATTGGACAGAGTGTAGGCTCCTTTCTATTTTCCTCATTAGGATTTAAAGTCCAGTTTTTAAACAATGCCTTTTTATTTCTCACGGCTTGGTTGTCAAGCCACAGTGGCACTTTTGGTTCTCTTACTATCCCAGAACACTAGGACTGGAAGGGACCTCGAGAGATCATCGTGTCCAGTCCCCTGCTCTCACGGCAGGACCAAGCACTGTCTAGATCAAGGGTGGGCAGGAGGCGGCTAGCGGACTCCGCCTCACCGGCACCCTTACTACAGAGCAGCTAGAGCCGCTCTGCAGTCTGAGCAGGAAGCAGAAAGCTTCATACGCTGTCCCTGGCTCCTAGCAAAATCCCTCAGCTTCTATTGGGCATGCCCTCCCTCCAGGGTGCAACTGGAGAACTGAGGCATAGGACTGAGATTTGCCCAAAGCCAGACGCAAAGTCTGTGAGGGGTCATCTGCACAGCAGTATTATTCTGAAATAACATTGTGCGCGTCTACACAACAAGCCTGTATTCACAACAATGTCGACTGCAGGACTTCTTACTCCGATGCCTGCAACCCTCACTTCAGTCGGGGGAAGAGTGCTCTTCCCTCCACTTCCTGCTGTGCAGTCAGTGCCAAAAGCCAAATTCAGCTATTTCGACTTCAGCGACGCAACTGACGTAGCTGAATTCGACTTTAGCCCTGCTGTGTAGACACACCCTGACAGAGCACGGACCTGAACACAGGCCTCCCATCCCAACCACTGAGCAATCGTTACTGACTGCCTTGAAGCACTGCACTGTACAGCGCACACCCCCGCCTGCTCCAGAGAGCTCACAGTCCAAGCAGTCAAGACAAACCAAAGACCCAATATTCTCCCCATTCTGTGTAGGGGGACACGGAGGCACAGAGAGGGGAAGCGAGTTGCCCTTGGTCACCAGGAGCAGAACCCAGAAGTCCTGTGCCCAAACCACAGGCCCTCACCAGCCTGCAGAGGGATTTCTATAGCCCAGTCAGGAGGCAGGGTGCAAGGCCGAGAAAAGGCGGTTACCGGTCTGGGAACAATTGCCTAGGAAGTCTTGACAATGCCGGCTAGAGCCAGGGATTAAGAGGAGGGTGCTGGTCTGAGCAGCTGCAGCGCAGGAGCAATTTCGGGCCATCCTTTCAGAGCTGTGCACAACTGCAGGGCTAGCTAACACGACCGGTGTTTCCGGCAAGCTGAGCGCTTGGGCGGCCGCCCCGCTGATTAGCGATGGGTCCACCACACCCACAGCCGGCAGCACACGAACTGCCTCTAAAGCTTCCTCCTCGGCCCTGGTGGCAGAGAACGGCACCCAGGACGGTGCGTGGTGTCAAATCCGAACGGCTTGGCTCCCAGACAGGCCAGAGAGCAGCTTCTGCGAGGAGAGCCGTCTATCCTCGGGGCGTGAAGTCCCATCGCATCTGGCACTTGTCACTCCTAGTTTTGCCCAGGCCCTGTAAGCAGGTTTCTCTTGGGCATAGGCTTGCCACAGGAGACACAAGGCCTGAAGCCCGTGGACTGGGGCATGTCGGGCTAGGATGGGAACTAAGTACACTCCACTATGATCGCTAGGAGAGAAGAAAAACCCCAAAGGCCGCGAGGAAAAACTTTTCTGCAGCAAGAATTGTTCCTGCAACCGCCACGGGAAGCAAGTAGTGACTGAAACGCTGTGGGGCTGGCGACACCTCCTATCAGGACGTAAGTGCCCAACTCGAGGGCGCTGACGCCGGCCCAGTGGATGCTACTGAAGGGGAATCTCTCTGGCAATGGTTCATGCAGCACACTCCTTGCACACAAAGGACAGGAGCAAACTTGCAGAGGAAGCACTTGGAGCAGTAGCCGGTGCCTTTCTGCTAATACGGAGCAATGTGGATCCCAGAGAACGCGCCACGGTGACAGGCTCCAAGCGTGGCCAGAGGCATCTTGCTGCAGAGTGGGCGGTTTCGCTGTTCCGACGTTTTGGGCTGCTTTGCAATTCGAGCGTGAGCCGGCAGCAGGCAGGAGCACGGCTCTCACTCGAGAGAACGCAGCAGCTTCACATTCAGACTTGAGCCAAGAACAGATGCAAATTCACATTGAGAAAAATCTCTGATTAGAGCAAATTATGGCTTAAGATATTACCCTGGTGAATAATGCCATCCGCCCAGCAGGGTAAAACACCGGCTGCCACATACAAATGCATGTTTTCCCTTCTGGTTCGAATTTCGTTTAAACAAACGAATTAAGTGTTTGTAAAAATTGCCTGAGAGCCCTAATGGCTGAAATCCTGGGATTATACAGCATGTCAGAAGAGTAGGAAGAGCTCTCCAAATCTCCTCCAGATTGGACCTTGGCCATGACTGGAACATATGCCAAGACAAAGCATGTGGCCTCCCAAATCCTTGCCTGTCGTGTCAGATAGGGACGTTATTGTTCACTTCCTGTCCCGAACAGCAGCATCCCATCATGAGCTGTGCACCGATACGTGTGTTCCACCTCAGAGACAGTGACATTTCAGGGGCGATCTTCTCCACAGGCAGCAGAGAGGCCACTGGGACCAGGTGCACTGGCTGCAAATGACTGGAATGGGAGAGTTTGTTTACCTGACATCCCATCGCTTGGCAATCACATCCCGTTGTGAAACGCAGGCATTTATTATAATCATTTACAGTATTTTCTAGACACCTCGGCCCGCCTCAGCGATCCCCTGCACAGTTCTGTACGTGCCCGGCACATCTGCTGGCCTCACGAGTTTATAACTGAAACAGACACGGCGCTCAAACCGGGGGAGGAAGGAGGCGGCCACACATTTTGGGGTCAGAAAGGACTGTTGGGACCATTTAGTTGGACCTTCTGAATAGCACAGACTCAGAGAACTTCCCCAAAATAATTCCTAGAGCTAACAGCAAAACAGCCAATCTGGATTGAAAATCTACCACAACCCACTGGTTAATTGGGCTCATCTGGGATTTGAACCTGTGTTCTAGCCAATGCAAGACTCATACCACCAAAGCACCCCTTTGCAAAGCATTCGGCAGCATCTCGCTGCAGTCACAGGTCAGGAGCTGAGGAGCAGCAAGATGAAGTGACTTGCCGTTCCCTTTTGTGGAAAAACGGACCTCCAGCCCAGCAGAAATCCACCATTCTCTTTCATTTCTGCTCTTTACTTGCAAGAGAAACATCAGACCATGATACTATAAAGTGACTGAACATGCGCTTTGTCCCAGAGAAACCCATCCCAATGCATGCCAAGCTTTAAGCAGCAAATTGTTGCTAAATTATAGTTGCTTCCCGTCTACAATGAGACCTCTGCAAGTTGAAAATGCCAGCAAATGTAGGGGGAATTTTGAGTTCTTGCGTGTCCGTGTGTGTATAAAAATCACTGCAGTTTGGGGGCTAGAGAATACCCTTTGTAATAAACAGCTTGGCTTTGGTACCAAAAATCAAACCTCTCTTTAGAAAAACCTCTATGCACGACTCAGGCTGGAACTCTGCATTTGTACTTGACTTTGGGGACTCACTTTGTGCTCCAGGCATGTGTCAAGAAGACTGGTTTCTCTGCTTTGAAGTGGACAATTGCTTTCACTTCCCACAATCCTTATTAGCCATAACCTGACAACACGGTTGCACTGTTCCTACAGACATTTCAAGGAACCTAAGCCTATTGCATGGATCATGATAAAATTCTGAAAGAGAGATGGAGGCGGCGCTGTAAGATGAATATAGTCTTTTTATTGACTACTTTGAGTAGAACAAACTAAATACATCTGTAACAGTTCGGGTTCCTTTATACAGTACATTAAATAAGTTATGCCCAGGAATTAACAAATTCCTATTACAGAATTAAATGACAAAATATAGAAAACTCAATCCAACAAGTCTTCCCATACCAGAATTTCACATTTATCATTCCATGTTTAAAAAAAATCATTCTAATCATGACTGTTAGTATTTGATTTATTTACACTGGGGTTAATTTTTACTTTAATACATAAGGAGCCATCAAAGCTGCATGAAAACGATGGAAGACTATTTACAAACAATTCCTTATAGCACGGTATTGTTCTTGTCTTTTTTGGGGTCTGATCTTACAGTGACTGGCCTTAGTCAACTAACGCATCAGTACTTGTAGCAAAATACAGTGGACTCGCCAAACTTCTGAGGCAATGTTATGTAGTTACTGGAGGCCATGGTAAAAGTTTTCAGGATTAGCACTGTAGCAAAAGGGTCCTTAATCAACCCTCTCATTGGGTGCGCTGACTGAACAAGGAGCGCAGAATCCAGCCCTCTGTTATGCAGGGTAGTTTCATGAAAACTACATACTCTGCAGCTTCTCTGTTCTTTATGAACCCAGCTCAACGTTGAGGAATACTGGATCATCACTGGAAAGGTCCGATCGGTTAAAAGCAGAAAGGGACTTTGTAGGGATTTCACACTAGAGGTGCGGTTTCAGCAGAAATACACTGAACAGCCACAGGAGATGAAGGAAACAGAGATGAGAACCTTCCTTAGAATAAGAACTGTTTGCAAATAGGTTTCCGTTGTCTGGGAGGCATCAGCTGTTCTCGGAGGTGGATACAGACGGCTACTGAACAGCCTCCTCCCCAGACACGGCCCCAGCTTGTGCTTCAGGTAGGTATGCCCACATCCATAGGGAAGGACTTCAGACGAGGAAGGAACATCGCCAGCAATTATCCCTGCACCCTGCAATCCGGATTTGTGTACAGCTAAGAAGCAGCAGAGTTTGTACTGGAGAAGTAGCTCTTTCATCTACAAGAGATGTAAGCGACCAGTTGACTACCTGATGAGCCTTATCAGGTAGTCGAGTCACTACTCGACTAGTTGCTCCCCCCTTGTATCAGAGGCAGCAATGGGGGGGAGGGAGCAGGAGCTGGTGGGAGTAGGCTTAAAAGCCAGTTTCCCCCAATACTGTCTCTGTGGGGGATAGGGGAAACAGAGGCACAGTGGGGGAAATGGCATGAGCAGAGGTGTGGGACTCTTATTACATTTAAAGGGCAGAGGCGCAGCCGGGATAGCAAGTGCCCCCTCCAATCGACTGATCGAGTAGTCGATGGAAATTCCATCGACTACTCAATTAGCTGATTAACTAAAATTTAACATCCGTATCATCTACCTGCACGCCGTATCCGAGTCCATGCTGTGAACTGTGGCACTGACCATCTCTCCCGGGATAAAAACAAGAGGCTCTTACCATGGAATTTCAGCCATGGGGAGTTTTGCGCCTGCGAGCTGAGAGATTTGAGATGTGAATTAAGCACTTCATTCCTGGAGGCTGCAGGCTCCAAACGACACTCCCTAGGGAGCACAGCGGCCAGCCTGCTCGCTACCTGCTAGATCACCACCAGCCATCTGCAAGCCCGTCGCTGTTGCGAGCCTAAGAGACACTGAATTCCATCTCCATTGCCAGCTTCCCTTCTACAAAGGGACCAAACAATCTGGGAATCGTTTGCCTTGCTTGGCGCCAACCCATAAGTCACAGAACAGCAGCAGCCGCCTCTGCGAAATAAAACCCCAAAGGAGATGGATACGCTAGGCCTTACTCATGAACATGCTCCGATTCCTGTTGCAGTAGCTGCACACGTAACAAGCTCTCACAGGGCTCAGGAGTTCTAGGTAAACTGTGTGCACCGAGCCAACCTTCCCTCCGGACCAGATCCTGAGATGGCACCCTACTGGGCAGCCCTCTCGAGAGCAGGCTTTGAGTGACGGGCAGGACGACGTTCACCGGTTTAAAACACTCTAGTGCAGTGCAAGCAGGGGTATTCCTTGGGCTGCACAGCTCTGCCTGGACTGCAGCCGAGAGCAAAGCCCATGCCAGAGCTCTAGTCATCCCAGTTAGACATAAATTAACACGCTGCAAACCGCGGAGACTTTCCTTTGAATCGGCTGCGAACGATCCCCTGTAATCGCGTGGATACTCAGAGTGGAAATTAAGCCAAGTCTAAAACTAGCAGCTTCCATGCAGTGGGAAGATCTTTTCTGCACAGGAAAGTAACCCAATCCAGCCAGGAGGCACAATGACAAGTCAAGATTTGGTCTGAAATAATCAGCAAACACGGAGAACGGGGGCTCCAAACTGAGCTGACTGATGAACAACGGACTGTCCGGTTAGAGAACAGGATGAACAAATGGGCCATATAACAAAGATCAGCTGTTTCCTCTCGGCCCGGAGACGTGTCTGGCTTCCCTCCTCTACAGTGCAGAGTTCTCCTCTCCAGGGAATGCCCATCCCCTCCAGTCCATGCGAGCTCAGGCCTGGGGAAAAGCAGAAATCTGTGACCAAAAACCTGGATTTCCTATTGTGAGAAGTTCTCCCTGGGTGGAAGATTTGCTCAGGCGGGCAGTTCCTTGCAGAGTTAGCAGGTGTAAAGCCATCTGGGCAGATGCAAAGTATGCATCTGGTGAAAGAGGAGGGGCAGCAAGTTGCATGGGGAGGCTGCGCCGGCGGCCCAGCCAGCCAGCAGAAAGGAGATCACCACACTTTATCCCTGGATACGGCGTGCTGGTTGTCCGGGTGCTCCTGCATGCCAAGTCAGGACATGGGAGTGCCTTCCCAAGGAAGTTCAGTTAAGACCAAGAGGAGGCGGCCACAGTCCTCTCGGTCGAAGTGATGTGCTTTCAGGTGCCAAGACTTCACAATGAGGGGCGTTGCGGTCCCACGGGCTAGGCTGGCCTTGGTCCCTAAGCACTGCTGATGGATTATAACAAAACAGACCAAGCCCCACAGACAGCAGCTGAAGCATTAGGGCTCTGGCGTGGCCAGTGGCGTCTTGACAACACTCCGTGGAGCAGAAGTGTGTGAAAACAGGACAAGGTATAAAACAGACTGAAGGGAATGGAAGATTTAGAGTCCATTAGTGTCTATTGCTGCCACGGAAGCTGGGGTAGAGGATCGGGAGGTCGTTGCAGAGGTCTTCTCTAGGGCAGGACTTGGAACCCCATCAGCTGGCTTGGCAGTGGCTGCTGCCAATCGCCCGGTTGGCTTGGCTTGGCTGTGTATTCCCTGTCCGCAGATCCGATGATGCCTCTCCCAGTCTTTGTGCTGGCAGAAAGAGCCACAGTAGCGGGCAATGTTGCACCCACTGCACGTCTCACTGGCTTTGCGACCGCAGTTCCAGCAGCTCTGCAAGAGAGAACACACCGGCACTGAAATCTATTTCAAAGGACGGTGCTCTAGTTGGAGGGCTGCTAGACACCTGCAGGGGTTGCAGGCACTGCTCTCCCAGACGAAACAGATTCAAAAAATCCCCCCTTCTAGCCATTTCCCTCACCTCGCAGCCCACCAACAGCCCACGCCTCTGTGCTCGACCGAGAATAACTTGCCAGACTGTGCCCAGCTGGTAGCCCCTGACATCTCAGCCCACACGTAGGAACCATCGCTGTAGTGGTGCGGTAGTGGGGGAGAGTTACAGACGAGCCAGAGGAGGCTTGCACTACCCTGGCCAACAAGGGCAGGGAGCAGTCAGCCTCTTCGGGCCAGGCTGGGCCCTAGAAAAAGGCTGCAAGGGTGGAGAGGAGCACAGCTGTGCAGCAGGAGAAACCTGGCCACCTGGGAAGCTACAGAGAACGGCTACGGAAAGGCAGGAGCTGGGGTGCCCTGACCTGACCCCACTCCCAGGCTGTGCCAGATACAGAGGCCTGAGCGGTACTAGGGCTGCAAGGAGGCAGCCAGGACAGCAGGTCCACACGCCCTTGCCAATGAGGAGTGGCCATTTCAGATACGGTTTGCCCCGGGGCAGGAGCTGGTCACCGAGCAGGGAGGGTAGAGGGGATTGGGGCTCCCTGGGAGGGAAGGAGCCCAGAGTGCAGGGCACTGCCACAGGGCAGTACTGCAAGGAAAGGGCCTGGTGGGCTGGAAGGCTATGTCTGGACACCAGAAGTATCCTGAAATAGCCATTCCGCATCTTTAAACACCCCCGTTATTTTGGAGTAGATTGCGCCACTCCAGCGCCGCTGCCGGCCTCCCTCCACAAGGGTCGGGGACTTGTTGGCACGGCGCTTTAATTCAAAACTAGCGGGCGCGGGCGTTACCTGGCACTGCTTGGGAAAGTGGAGGAACAAAACGTAGAAAAACAGTCGCCCAGCATCGTTTTTTGAATGGTAGAAAAGTTGCACTGAGTTTTATAGGGATTAAAATATATTAAAAAAAGTACAAAACAACCAATTTTACATGTTATCACCAAAAGCTTTATTGTAAATTATATTTTTTGGTTCATTATTCTTAACAAATATGTACAAATATTTTCCACTTCCCACTCTTGAACACGCTACACAGAGCTGTCCATGTGAAAGGCCATGTCTCCAGATCCATTCCAGCTCCTTGAAGTGACTGTCCTGGCGCTTTGGCAGGATACATTGTTGAAATATAAGTTGGCAGTTGATATAACTGAGGTGAGGAGCCTGAGGAGAGGGAGGGGGAAGGGAGCCACGCGCTTGCCGCTGGTGCCCGAGCCCACCCTCCGCTGGCCTTAGTGAGTGACTGGCCCCGCCGGGAAGCCGCTTCTCCCCGCACTGCCAAGCTCCGTGCAGCCCCGGGGAAGGCGTCGGTCTCATCTCTTCCCTCCCACAGTCCCTTAAAGCCCTCTCCTGGAGGAAAGGTTACCCCATGCAAAGTTTGGTTGCGGTAGCTCTGACAGTGTCCAAGTTATTAGCGCACAAACACACAAACATTCTCCTTTAGAGATTAGATTTGGCGCTGTGGAGACAAACAGCTGCTAAGGGAGCAGGAAGTGAAGCTGCCTCAGGGATCTCTCAGATGGCATCTCACGTCCCTCTTGCTGCAAGGCTGGCAGCAAAGGTGCCTGTCAGCAGGAGCTTGGCAGTTTTGTGCCTAACACTGTTTGCTCCTAGCAATAATTGCGTGGCTGGTAGCTAAGAGCCTAACTCCGCTGCTTGGCAGTGGAATGGCTTTAGAGTCAACACGCGCAGGAGAGCCATCCGTCTTCCGGAAGGAGACTGGAAAAATCCTTCACTGACATCTGCAGGAAAGCTTGAGAAACGGGTCAGAGCTTGAAAACCGCTGACACTCCTGCCGAAAGCGGCGCGTTTCACGGCTCACAGGATACACTGGAGTAACGCGGGGGTGAGCGAATGATGCTCTCCACAGAATGACTGCCGAGCTTAGCCACGAAGCGATCCCCTGGCTGGACAGCCCAGCGTTTTCCCGCGCACTTTCCAGAATCTATCACGTGCTGGTGCTTGCACCACTTCTCTTGGGAGAACTCTCACTTGAAGAGATCTCACAAGCCCAGGGTTGCCCCAATATTTAACCTAAAAATCATCCCTTCGCTTCCTTTTCTTTCATCACTTCGGTGTCATGGTAACCGACTCCTCCCGCTCCTTGGCACCCGCATCCTTCACTGCTTTGGCGACTGCTACACCCTCCCCTCAGAGAGACCTTTCTGGGCCAACCTTTTATATTCCTTGCTTTGTGTCTCTCCAGAATAATATGGAAGAAGCAGATTGCTCCTTTCAGCCCGAAGAGGGCCTGTGTACCAGCTGGTGCAAGCTGTGTCGGACCTGGCAGGCAGTGCCATCCAATCCCAGCTCAGCGATACAACCCACCACCCAAGTGACCCGAAACTCTATCAGAGGCTGGGAGGGGATAGAAAGAGCGGATCTCTCATGACTGCCACGTTCTGTACACTCCCGCTGAAGCGTCTGGCACAGGCTGCTGCCAGAGACAGGACACGGGGCTAATGGCCCACTGCTCTGACCCAGTCTGGTGGCTCTGGCTCTACCTGCTTCCATTAGTGGCGAGAATCTTAAGAGTCCTCTTTAAAAAAAACGAGTGTCACTGGGATTCCCCCTTCCCGGTCTGGCCCTCACCGTGCCTCACATGACACTTCTAGCGCCAAACTAGTTTCCCTGCTCTATTAGCTCCACCCAGAACCCTGTGACATCACTTCCCACGCGCAACGCACTGCACGGGGCACGCTGAAATCAGCATCAGGGGAAGTGGTGGAGTGTCAGCTGGCGAGGGCCTGGGTGTGACAAGGACAGAAGGGAAGGAGTCCAAGATAACCCACAGCTGAGCCGCTGAATGACGGGGAGCACGGCAGAGATGTTGCCAGCGATGGAGAGAGCCCAGTGAACCGTCCCCTACAACAGCTTCAGGCCTATTACTGAAACAGTGAGAGAAAGAATGGACCGAGCTATTTTCTTGGCTGAAGCCGAGAGGACTTCTGTCGGTGCCTATTCGCTCGGAAGGTATCTAGAATACATGCAAACACCCTGCTGGGTATGTTTTGTGTTTCTTTAGTTTCGGAAAAATCAAATGAAAGTTTCATACTCTCCTGCTCACGAAAGCCATTCTTCAGCAAAACCACTTCAAAACCAGACTTCAGTGAGAAACTGCAGAGCTGGAACTCACACGCAAACCTGACACCTCCAGACTGGGTCCGGTTGGGAACGTACGCGCCCATCTTTGCCCGTGTGTATATTTACCTGCCCAACTGTCGTTTCTACTTCATGCACTCCATTAGGCTTTACGAGTTTTCACAATGAGAAAAATACTGGGGCTCTCTGTGGAGTGCAGGTAAGTGTTCATATCAAAATGACTCTGTTTTGCAGCATGTGTTTTGTAAGAGCAATCCCCAATATCCAAGATGTTATTCACCGGATTTAACTGCACAGACAGACGGACGGACGCGTGGACACATCCTTACAGACTGATGTATAATTGAGCCACCTAAGTCTCAGAACCCCATCTGGAATGAAGTGAGGAATCAAACTTGAATGCTGCATCTTTCGGGCAGTAGAACGGCCTAGTGGGTAAGGGTATGTGGGCTGGGACTCAGGAGAGCTGGGTTCTTTGGTCTGCTAAGTCACTTTCCCTCTCTGCCTTTGTCTCCCCATGTGGGATAATGGCGAGGGTGACGAGACAATGAGGATGACAAATCAGGGACACTTTTTCAGAGGAGGTGGGGGAATCGCAGCCTATGCAGGACAAAGCCCCTAATATCAGGCCACTCTTGATTTCCTTGGCCAAGTGCTTGGAGAACTAGGGAGGGAACGCACTAGAGAAGAGCTCAGTATTAAAGTCATTACGAAAAACTGAGCAACGTTTGTTAAACCACTTGAGGGAATGAAACCAAATCAGCTACTGCAGCGTGGCCGTCGCCAGAGGGACGTGCAGCAGAACTGTACCCGGCCGCTCGGATTTCCCTTTCATACGGCGATGAACCTGGGTAGCAATCGTGGCGCTGCTCCATGTCAGGAGCCTCCAACACCAGTTTCATGAGGGACTGAGCCTCTTCTGCAGACTTCACTGCATGTCATAGAACCCCAGGGCGGGCAGAGACCTCAGGAGACATGGAGTCCAGCCCTCTGCCCAAGGCAGGACCGACCCAACTCAATCATCCCAGCCAGGGCTTTGTCAAGCCGAGACTGAAACACCTCTAGGGATGGAGATTCCACCCCCTCCCTAGGGAACCCCTCCCAGTCAAACGGAATCATTTCTAAGCGGTCTCTGCTATCCAAGAAACAGCAGCCCACTCCCAGTCAACGTGAACCGGCACCTACCAGCCTCTCACCCTGGAACCCCGCCCAATCTGCAGGGCTATGGCCCTGGCGTCTTACCTCTGTAGACTCCTCCTGCTCATTAATGACTAGGAAGGCATCCTCAGTAGCCTGGCGCTTCGCATCTGCAATGGTTTGTTCCATGCGGGCCCTCTCCGACGCAATCATTTCAAATGCCTTCTGCTCTGCCTCCGCCACAGCTTTCTGCACCTCAGACATGGCCTGGCGCTTCACCTCATTCACGGCTTCTTCTGGAAGAAAACACCCTCATCAACCGGCCTGGCAGGCAAAGCCAGCCTGGGACAAGCTGGCAGAGACACTGGGAACATGACAGCGGTAGGGTGGAGGCATTAGACACACAATAAGCAGATAAGAATGCTGGCCCATGCCAGGGGACCTCATCCTGGAGCTGAAGAGGCAACCTCTCTAGGGGGAAGAGAGAAATTCAGTGGTACAGGCAAGTCAAGCCATGGCCATTCTGCCGAGAAGAGTACCTAGCGCCCATGGACACGATGCTTCCTAGGATCAGCCTCCACACTAGGAACAGCCTGAATCCATCACCTGGCTCTACACAACCCTTTGAGAGCCCTGATGCCTCTTGCTTCTGGTCAGTAGCGATTAGCTAGCAGCCCCTGAAGACCAAAAGTGGTGGAAACCCAGGCAGGAGGTCAAGAGTATGAAAGGGAAAAAAACGGGCTCGAAAAACTCGAGATTGTAGGCCCAAGGAAAGGGGGAGGAGCCCCAGATAAATGTGGATGAAATGATGCTGGTTTCCATGGCAATGGGATTAGTCTCCCCAGGGCATTACTCCAAACCTCCACATTTGGCCACTGGGTGCATCAAGTTCACACCTACGTTTTCCCAAAGGTGTCCCAGCACCTTTCCTGGGACTGATCCTTGTGGGGCCGTGCAGGCCTGGAAGGTGCCAGGCCAACTCCCAAACCGCACCCCCCACCTGTGTATGTGGTCAGCGCAGGCACATGCCACTGTGCAAAGCTGGGCCAGCACACACCCAGCCCCCAGGCCCACCCACATTCAAGATGCTTTTCTACAAGCACGACTTTGCATCTGGCCCTACGCCACCCTCCCCCCCACGCTGCATTTACCCCGTGAGCTTGTGGTAACTCATTACGTGACCCCGCGATCAGTACGTACCAGCTTTTTTCCATATCTCTTCAGTAACGTAGCCTGCCCCTGACCTGCTGCTGAAGTCCCGTTGGGAATCTGCGGAAACAAGAAACACACAGGTGGCTCAGCAGCGTCTCCTCTCGCTGAATGATTCTGCTTAAACAGGCACTCCAAGCCCTGTGAGAAAACTACGAGAACCCGCAGACAGGGCCTAGAAACCTAACTACAGCACCAAGGGACCACGCCAGGCTTCCTAGTGAAAACCCAAGCAAGTGATTTCTGCAGCTCAGACCATTCATCAAATGGCAAGATGATAAATGAACTTTTAATTAGCGTCCTGCATGATTTATAGCACAGCACAATCCATTTCATCTTCCGATACTTTATAATCCCAGACTGTATTTATAAATATACCTCATCTTACATCTGCCCTGTGCAATGATTGTGAACATCAATCTATCCTAACAATGTATTGCATTAAATACAGCACTTTTCACAGGCAACTCGCAGTCAAACAAGTACAAACCATGCCTCTCTTACAGCTATAGGTGCCCTCACAACACACCCAGGGGGACCCAGTGCGAGAGGTGCTGCTACACAGTATCTCTAGTTGGTTTCACGTGATCTCAGCACTTTCAAGATATATTTCTGCTGGAGAGGTTTTCGAAAGTCAGTAGTAGTGCGGCTTTTACACACAACCCTTTGGGGTGTATTTTAAAAAAAATATGTTTTACTAAAGGTTCACATGACATCAGAAAAATTAAACTGAGGTCAAAGGGTAACGGAAGAGGCAGACGTGAGGAGTTTGTTGTTCAATAGGTTTCTACAAAACTCGGCACTGTACATACCAGCTATTTCACTGACTTGGAGGTTTTTGATCTAATTGCACCCCCTAGCTTAAAAGCACTGGTACTACAGCTCTTGATCTTACGCCTGTTAAGGGAGAACTCAACAAGATTCTTGCTCTTTTAAGCCTTTTTTAACACCTTGGTGCTGGCTGTAGCTACCTGAGCAGCTTTAAAAGGCTTTTCTGCTCTGAGAAACAACTACCATTCAACGTTACTCACTCCCTGTTCTTAACAGATCTGCTGCCTGGCTGAGTTCAGTACCACCTTTTTTCCACTTCGCTGAGCCAGCTAGAACTACCGTGTTAGTCGGTAACTTTAAAAACAAGCAGTCCTGTGGCACCTTAGGGACTAACCAATGTATTAGGTCATGAGCTTTTGTGGGTAAAAGCCATCATCCCTGCAACAAACCCTGGTGCCAATGCTGTGCACACATCTACACAAGCAACACCGTCACAGGACCTAACCACAGCAGCCACCATATCAGGGGCTCCTTCAACTGCACATCCACTAATGTGATCGATGCCATCAAGTGCCAGCAACGCCCCTCTGCCAGTACAATGGCCAAACCGGACAGTCTCTGTGACACCGGATAAATGTACACACATCAGACATCGGAAGCTGTAGGGAGGTGGTTCCCAACCTGTGGTCCACAGAGCGCTGAGGTCCGCGGTGGTACTGTAGGGGGTCCGCACAGAGCATCCCACAGCCAGCACGTCCTTCAACCTGCGTTGCTTCCTGCGGCTTGGGAAGCTGCACAAGCTGAGAGACTTGCTGGCTCGGAGCCTCTCAGCTGGTTAAGAGTAGCCATTCCTAGGTACAACTTCTTCATGGCTTTACATTGGCTGGCTGAAAAGGATTTTTTCCTAATGAAAATCTGCTTCTCAAACAAAGCCTACAGTTCCCTGGTACTTGCAGAGGTATCAGCGGGCCAGTTGGTATTGGCTTTATAATTATGGCTGCAACCATTTCACACTCTATTCCCCCTCCTCCCTAAATAGTTTAAGGTTATTTCTGTAGAGAAATGTTGAATTTTTGCTAAGCTTGGAGAAAGCTGCTCAACCATTTCAGAATTCCAGGCAGCTATGAGGAAGCAAAAATGCTTCCAATTTTTTTTAACTCACTATTTTTGGGTGCAGTTGAAACTCACAACAACTTGGTTCACAGGTTCTAGAGCCATCAAACACTCCCAAAGCAGGGCAAAGAGAAACCCTTTCAGCCTCCAAGCGTACAAGCGTGCGCTCCCTCCACTCGCTCACTAACGCGCGGAGGTTCCAGAGCACTATACCCAACCCAATGATGCCTGGCAACATTTGCCCCCTGCTGCTGTTAGCTCTCACCCCCTGGCTGGTTTTAAGCCTCTCGGTCCAAGCCTGGAGCCCGCTGCTGTGGAACCACAGCCTCCAGCGAGCGCCGAGCAGTTGGCTCCCCCTCTTACCGCTACTAATGGAGTCCGAGCTCCCGGGACTGTGCTGCCTCGAGATGAATTCGCTCCCTCCCTTTCTCGCCTCTGTGCTCTCGCTGCACCGCCTCTTCCAGTAGTTGAGCTCTTCCCGGTCGGCCTCCTGACAGCGCCGCAGGACAGCCATCGAGCGCCGCGTCTTCTCCACCATTTCCATAATGCAGTTCAAGGCCTTGGGGGCGGGAAAGGGGGGGTTTCAGAACTCTTACCGAGGCCTGGGCTAGGGGTTCTCTAGAGCAGAGCACGGCTTCTTCGCAGATGCCACCCGATGGAGAGCGTTCCCTCCCAGCAACCAGCACCGTCTGCTCACGCAGAACACAGAACACGAGTCACTCGGCACCAGTGGGAAAACCAGAGACATTCAGCGCCCTGGGGAACTAAAGCAGAACATTCTTTCCCCACAGCTGAGATTTCTCTTGCTGCTTCAAGTATTATTCAAATGGGCTCTGATATAGCATCATCAGATTCGTGATAGCTGGCTCCTTTCAGACTCCCCCTTCTTTATTCTACAGACAAGCGCAGGGCATTGTCCCTGTTTGGGCTAACCTATCAGCACGATTTCAGCCACCGTAAGGTAACCGATACACACACAGAGCCGGGAAAAAACCCAATTTCAGTTACTCACACAATTATTGTCCAAAAATAACTTCCATTTATTATTAAAAACCTCCCTTTGAAAGACTGTGGGGCAGAATTAGTGAGAAATTTCTCTGTATCGGCAACTCAGCAGCTAACCAAGCCACTGATTTACAGAAGTGAAATTTCGTATGGCAACAGTTTTGGGCCATTTCACAGCAGCCCTGTGACGAACACTGAAATCTGATTAATACTTCTACGGCTCTGCCCAAACAGGTTCAAGAGCACACTGGCTTCCAAACGTCTCTCCACCTCCCAGCATCTGGAACGGCACAGAACACGGGGAATGTAGGGATTCCCCTCAGCCAGTCAGACTGACCTTGCCTTAGGAAACAGACAGTCGCCAGGAGGGACCCTCGTTTTCTGTTTTTAACCCCCCCCCCCCCCCCCCACCCCCCCCCCCCCCCAGCTCTCTCAGAAAAAAAAAAATTCACGTTTTTCTATGGTTAAAATGAAACGCTGGCCTCCCTAGCCACCCTATATATAGACAGCAGTTGAACACAACATTTTATTGAGAGATTTACCATTTTGAAGCACACCTGAAGGCTACTAGTGCCATCCATCATTGTAACACCACACAAGAATTGCTGCTCGGCTCTCAGGCAGTGCCCACAGCAGCAGCGGGAAGTACGGGTGGCAATGCCATTCCACGCCACATTTACTTCTGTGCTACTATCGGCAGTGCTGCCGCCAGCAGCTTCTCACCCTGCCCCGGAATACATTCCACTCCCCCCAGGGGGTGTACCCCCAATTTGAGAGCTTCTGGACACTGGTCATTTCAAATCTACGAAGTATCTGAGGGAATCTGTCCGTTTGGTCAAGAACTCCTCCTAAACGGACCTGGCACTCGGCAGGCAGCTTCCTCTCGTCAAAGCAAGGTCAGGGTTTGGGTGTGCCAGGAACATGGGATGTTTCTGCAATGGGATGGCTTCTCAGAAAACCAGACGAGAGAATCACCAGGCAGGGGAAAGAGGCCAGCTAGGGGCACACCCCCAGTCCAGAATGCCCCTTGCACAGAGTCGCAGAGGCCTGGGAAGCTGGTACCAGCAGAGACAGCGTCTCTTCTGCGGCCTGCAGAGCCTCTGGTGTGGACGGAGTGGGCTGGGGTGCTCCACTCTGCTTGAGGTGGACCCTTCCGCACTTGAAAGCGACTGGCAGCCGCCTGTCACGGATCTATCTGCGCTTATGCCATCTTGTCCCCTTTTCTGGGATGGGGCAAGCAGCCCCTTGCTGACTTCTTCAGCTTCTCTGCTGGGGCCAGGGAGGGGGAGCCGTGCCGACGGGCAGACGGTGCTGCTGGAGCACCACACACCGAGCCCTCGGTGCCAGCGCGGAGTCCGATTGGTGTGCTGGTGCTGGGGGAAAGGCAGACTCCATCAGGAGGACATGAAGCCGAATGCCCTGCTCCTTCGTAAATCCTAGGTTTAAAGGATTTGCAAATCTTATACCTTTTGCTGACGTGTGCTTCAGCCAGGCAGCTCCCCTTGCGGGAATCACAAGACTGGGATATGCCCTGATCAGGGTCCAAGTCCTCAATGGGACCAGTTACTCTAACTATTAATATGGGTAAACTACCTACCAAGAAAAAGCTATCGAACGGGAGAACAGCTGAGCTGTTCCGATGCACTGAGGGTGGGGAGTTCATGCAGAGCCACTTATACTGTGCCATGGAGGTGCTGTGCTATAAGTACCGCTAGGGGGAAAACTTCTGGCACCCGTTCATGTGGAAGAAACACGAGGAAGGACTCGTAGCAGAACCAGCCGTCTCCCAGCCATGCCGGATTTAGGAAATGTTGTAGCCTTGATTACCAGCCCCTCTCTCAATACAATTTTATCACAATGACGTTATATGCAGGGATAACTTTAGAAAACTTTAATAGTTTTCATTGACTTCCCCAAGTCCCCGAATCCAGGATTAGTGCCAGAAGAATGAACAGCATTTGCGGGGGGGGAGGGGTAAATTTCCAGCTAGGCCTCTCTCCAGCCCCCACTTCTGCACACACACTATTAGCCCGTGTTTTGCTCAGCACTTTGCAGATGAAAATATCTGTTACAATGCTAGAACTTGTAAGCACAGCCTAGCGTGTGTACGTGCATGCAAGTGGTAGCAGGGGGTCTGAGTGGTTTTGCAGGTACTGCGCTTACCAAATGAGCTTCCAGAGGCATTAGCTCATTTAAAAGTTATAAACAAGTGCAAGTCCTCACAGGTGTCCAGGCCTGCCAAGTGCAGGTGTAACCCACACAATGCCTGCTACAGATTCCCTGGGGCCTGACCCAGAGAGGTCAGAACTTCTGCTAAAGCTGCAATAGCTCTGGAGATCCTGGGTTCAATTCCCACACTGTCAGACAGGACGACAGGGCTCGCAGAGACACACATTTAAGCCACCTGTCCATGTCGCAGGCAGGCCTCCGTTTCCAAACAGACCCAAGAAAATAGCTTTGCTGCAGCTCCACTTCGCACTGCATCACCAGCCACAACAAAAGGATGTGTTCTTCTTTAACTAGGACTTATTTTACAATGTAGTTCTCATGAAAAGAGATCGCCTCTGCTGCCTCCTTACCTGCAGGATGCCCTGCGCCCTTCCGACTGCCTTTCCCCCCACAAAGACATTTACCTTGTTTTACCCCAAAATCCAGACATGACAGACAGGTCAGACTGGCGAGGGTAAATGCAGCAGGAGTTTTCACACCGTTTCAGTGTGCACTACAAATGGGCCACTTGGAAAATGCTGCGTTGATACCGCCTATGGCACTGCCATGGAAATGGAGCAGCTGGTGGTTTGAATGCTGGGCCTTCAAAGAGGCTTTTTTGGGGGTTTTTTTTTTTTTTTTTTTTTTTTAAAGGTTCCTTACGTGATCGAGATGCTTCCACTCCTCAGCCCACTCCCTCTCTGTTAAGCGATGGTCCACCAGCTCATCCTGGTAGCCTCCATTCAAACCTGCAATGAACGACACCCCAAATTAGGACCAGACTGGAGGATTTTCCCATTAGGCTTCACCAGGCTGGCAAACAGTGGCCTGGGCGCTCTAGCCAGCAGCTTGTTACCCTGAAAAATGTAGGTTGCAATGGTGCAGAGCAGGGATTTGTCCAAGTAGTTCCCGGAAACTGGCCTCTGGGAACACGGCTGCATGGAGTCCAAGCCCAGCAGCCCTTCGGGGGGGAGCTCTGGAGGCAGTGCTACGTTAGGGCATTAGCTTGAGCAGAGCCAAGACAAGTCTGTCCACCCGTGCTCCAAACTGCAATGCATTCACACGCGGGCTGCCTACAGCAAGAGGGACCAGGCGGAGGAGAGCAGACAGCACCACTCACGCTGGATTGTAAAGAACCGCAACTAGCCATTTAGATGCAGCTTCCCCCCCGCATCTGCCTATAGAAAACGGTTCTGGCAATGTGCATTTTCTTGGCGGATCCCCTCGGTGCACTGTGCGCCCAGCTGGGTACGCGACCGCCCCACGGGAGCCCTAGAATGACATCCCGCAAGGCAACGTCTGGACAGAGAAGGGCCGGGCCTTTCTTACTGAGATTGCGATGTCTGTCGCACATCTCCCTCTGCTCCAGGAGCTTGCCGGGGTCTCTGTACAGCTGGGTCGTGGTGATGTCCTCCAAGGTGTAGTGCTGGAGGGGCGGGGGGGTCGGATGGAACTGCCCCGCGGGATTCATGAGGGGTAGAGCCAGGGCAGGGCTGTGCCGCGGGGCTGGACTAATGGTGCACACTCGCTTGGCCGGCGGCTCCGACGGGAGGGGGTCTCTCTCAAAACTAGTCTCTTCTCTTCTGAAAACAAGCCCGAAGAGGTGGGTGTCAGCACTACGAACGGACTCCGAAAGGGCAAGAGGGACCTC